CCTCTCTCACCGTCCGTCTCTCTGACACACAGACTCACACTTTTCTAAGACAACACCCCAGGGAGTTACTAAAAGAGATTCCTGGATACTCGTCTGCTGCCAGGAACTTGCAGTAATGCTCAGCTTTTTACGGCAGTCTCGCTGCCAGTGACTAAGGAATGTGCTTCCTGTGACAAAGGAAATGAGAAGTGAAGGAACCCCGCCCCTTTTTTTGCCCGTTGCTCTGTGCTATCTGCAGAAGTGCTCAGTCACGGCCTGGAAGTCTGTGACTCTGACATCACTTGCAGTGAGGTCAATTTGTCAACATAGCAGTGGAGGAAGGGATGGAAAAAAAATGTCTGGAATGTCACTGCAATGTTGCGATCATCTCTTTGGAGATTTCTTGGAGAAGGAGTTTGATGGAACTTTGTTTCATCTGATGACTGCTGGGTTTATCTAACTGTTATAGAAGTTATTGAGAGTCTTTTTTCACTCAGTGTAAGCTCTAGGGATGTAATGATTCAGATTTTCCAGGCTTCATATCTGCCTTAATAGTTGTTTTTATTGATAAATATGAGCCCATACAGAATGACAATCTGATATTTTCATCTGTGCAACGGGGACTGTAAGGATACAACTTCATTACGATAAGGGTTTGACAAGCATCCAAATGGCAGAACAGACTGCAGATCCATAAGGCAACAACAACTAGCTACCAGAAATCAACACTGGACACACAAGGGCAGTGGACTGCTCTTTGATGACAAGCCACGAAACAATGGGCAGCCCCTTTATAGCTTCAGTTAAGTTTGAATGTTGGATTTTTATAGAACAGATTTTGTATGAAATCAGTAGTATCAGTATTGAACGTGGCCAAAATACCTTGACAACTAATCGTTAACTGAATGTATTCTTCAGTTGAACACATTTATCTGTCCGTTATTATTACAACAAGGAGAGGTAAAAGGCAGAGCTTAGCAAAAGGTGGATCAATTGTTCAGAGGTGTAACCTAGTGACTAAGGCACAAGACAGGGCTGCTGCAGCTATAATCCTTGTGCATGTGGAAAACTGCCACTGCACAATATACTCTAATCATGCTGACTTCTAAAGGCCAACACTCATTACACAAGTTAGAGCCTTTATACCGGTGGAGCTGACATCCTTGGACAGAAACATTGTCATTCACGGGATCAAGTAATGAGGACATGCTGTAAAAATCTGATTCCCAGGATGAAGAGCTTCCAGCAGGTGACAGTAACAGTGTTATTGTTTACACCCAACTGTTCAAAGAGTCCAGGCCACAGTTGAGATTTCTTGCTCAGATGTCCCAGCTGACCTGACATAACAGCAGGAGACAGAAACCTCTAGTCTGCATGGAGCTGGGAAAAGCCTGAGACTCAAACACCTGCATCTCCCAGCAAGAAGGAGATAAAGAAAGTGAATCTCTGCCCTATTTCTGTCTCTTCAAATGCAGTTAATGTTTTCACATACTATTATTTATTTAAAACACCGAAATGTGTCTGTGTCTGTGCAACAACCAATATGTTTATATAAATGGAAATGATTGATTCCTTTTTTAGGCTTTGAAAACCAAAAAGCTATGAAATAAAAAATGAGGTGCATGAGGAGAGAAAAACTAAAATTGTGTTAGCAGAGGTTGTATTTGGAGTCAGGATTACTTAAACAACCAATTTGAGCAGATAATCCAATAAAGGTATGTTACATGATCACACAATAACACGCACAGCATGCTGTACAGTAGGACAGGCCTCCATTTATAACTGGCACAATCAATTTTGCTGGAACCAAAAGGGAGCTACTGGTGACTGCCGTCATGGGAACAGCTCCATCTGAGTCACACTGGGAATAAAGTTTAATCATTCCTCTCCTTGTACTGAAGCTGCCGGTAATACCAGAGACCCACTGTAACACAGAGGGATCAAACAAACGCCAGTGATGGCTAACCTTCAAGGTCATGAAATGTGAACAGAGGTCTGTGACTGTGACCTTAGATGTGGTCAATGACAAACTGGAACAGGAATGAGTTGGCAACTGTGTGATGTTTCTACACAGAGCCTACTTTTAGATTCAACAACTTTCTCATGATGCTTTAATATTCTTGGTACATTTTTCCCTCCACTTCCACTTTTAGACTAAGAACACTTAGTACATATCCGACACTTTCTTTCCTCTATAGTTTCCAAATCTGCTAAAACGTATAATTCTGCTGCCGAGTGTTTTAAACTGGCACAGCTCTAATCTGACAAAGGAACCTTTCTGTCATGAGTGTTTTAAATCTCTGGGCTGGTCACATTCTGCTCCAGGGTGAGACCTGATTGATTGTGAGGCATATGACTACTGAGTCTAATGACTGACACAGGCATTAAACTATTTGTAAAGTTTATTTAGAACAGGTTACCCTTGTGGTTAGCAGACGAGAGACTGTGTCAGGCAGGTTAAGGGAGAAGCTTTCAGAGACTTGGAATGGCCCAGAAGATTTGAAATGTAAATAAAATAAAGATGATCATTTTAAAAGCAATAGTTCGAAAATTAAGGTTAGAGTATAAGTGATTGTTTGTAAAGTTTATTTAGAACAGGTTACCAAACGAAATCACAAACTGTGAAGTATTTTCAGTCCTGTCACAGATACTCGGTACACCTTGACTCTGGTACTTCTGTCTTCTAAGGTATAAAAATTAAAACTTAATTTCCTTTTACTGTATTTTTAAATTAAAATCCCTGTATTTACAGGAATGAGATAATTTCATTTTTATTATTTTATTTTATTTTTTTAAACACTTACACGAGATAATTTCATTTTTATTATTTTATTATATTTTTTAAACGCTTTTATTACATCAGCTAACTATAATGCTTGTTGGCTAATTAAGAAAATCATCAGACGTACAAGAAACATGAAGAGTTTGAATGACATCCCAGTGTCAATTACGCACAGGAAAGCCCTAAATCAACATTGACACAACTGAAAAAACCCAAGCGCAGCCGCTAGTGGTGACTGGTGTTCAGTCCAAGCTCAACATCAGGGTTAAGTTACAGTCCACTTCCAGACATCAGACACCTCATCAAGTTTCCATGACACTTATCGTACTCCAGAATTTCCACAGCACAAATTATTCTGAAATAAACTCAAACGTCCTGAAAATCCTTGCCTCAAGTTTTAGTTTTTTTTATTGGGACTGAGTCTGCAAGTTTGAAGCAAGTTCGAGTTAAGCTTCACTTGATTCAGTAAGTGTAGGAAATGCTGAGTGACGCTCTCATGCTGATGAAGCACTTACAGCGGAGATGAAGATTGATTGTAATGGCTTGTGACTTCTCAGGAACATCTAACTGCCAGCTGCATTCCTTTTAAATGCAGTTTGCGCTCTGAGAAAAGTTTCATCATCAAGTGAGACTCAGAGAAGTTCAGTCAGTGGTTCAAAACAGAGGAACGAGCGACTTCTTCTTTCGAACAGGAAGTGAGCGGTGGTTATCTTAAATGTACTTCCTGTGACACAATGAAATCTCTGACTGTAAATGCCATAATGGAGACTGTTGGGTTAACAGAACCGGAGTCATTCGACTAATTTATTTTTTGAGTGTTTTTGGGGAAGCTAAATGTTTTCACTTTCTACATCAATGCTACTTCAGTCAAAATATCTTTTCATCTGAGCAGCACCCCGGTGTATACCTGCTTCCTCACACAGTCTTTCACAAGGCCTCAACAGTTTTCTGTCAGTAAACAGGGTCAAAGGTAAAGAGGAGACACAAAGCTGTTTGCCCTGTGACTCACACATTTACCAGAAATCTGTGCTGCATCCCTGCAATGTTACACCCCCAAAGGGTTCAATCCACTTGGTGCAGTGTTAAATCTCTGGCACCCACATTAGAATTGTGCTTAAGGGGCAATTAGAAACAAAAGAATTAAAAAAAGGAAAATGGGACACGGTCTACAGAAGGATGCTGTGTAGGTGTGAAAGATCGAAAACAGCTCATGATGTCTCTGGGATTGCGGAGGCAGCAGAAATCTCACAGCCTATTTGAATGCAAGAATGTACAGTTCATGCTGGCCTACTGTAAGATCACACAGAGGGATAGTTGAATTACCGAGCATAGACAAAAAAAAAAAAAAAAGAGACTGCACGAAACCACGCAAGTAGAAACAAGCAGATACATGCTCTGCAAATGTGCAGCACAGGGGTAGACACAAAAACACTACGACTACTGTTTTATCTGATTATCCCAAATCTGCACAGAAAAGATTAGCTGCCAGGCTCCTCAGGCAGTGAGAGGGACGTGTTGTTGGTAAGAAGGAAGGGGGACACCTTTAAACTAAAGTGAACCAGGAAAATGAGACTGAGACAAACTTGAAAACATCATAAATAAGATCACAAATGAATGTCTCTGAGATAAGTTGACATTTTACTAGGTGCTAACAATATTGAGGCCTCCTTCCAACTCTGTCCTTTTATATAAGACTACTTTTTCCTGGACCAAAAAGAGTAGGAACACATTAGCATTGTTGACAAGGACAACACTTCAGCTGGTAGAGTCACCTTAAAACTGTGGAGTGACTCAAACCCGTGTCGCAGAATGACCGTCCACATTGCTTAAGGTTTCATTAAATTTGCAGAGCTGTGGTTAAGAGGTCTCTGATGTTTGCCTCTGTGCAACCTGCTTGTATAACTCAGTGACACAGTTCAACTTACAAACCCGGGATTCATTTGGTAAAACAAACTAAAAAAAAAAATCTTTCTATTTCAAAGACCAGCTGAGCTACAACCACAGCTTGGCTTACCTTTGACTGCAAACACACTGAATAGTGAGCTACAATACACAATAGACAGCTAGTTTGACATGTTATTAGATTACACATTAATCTACCTATTTATCATGTAATCCCTCAAAGAGTCCATAATGTGGTGCATTATGGGAAATTGTTAAAAAAAAGTCTCTTTCAGTAGATTCTATAAGATTTAGTCACATTTATTTCCATTTGTCCATTTGGTCAAAGAAAGAAAAATCAATAAAAACAATCACTCCTTACTACAAGATTAAAGGAGAACAGAGTTGGCGCAGTTACAGCAGCCAGGTAACTGTGGTGGTGCTGTGGAGCACAGGGGAGCTGTACAGGCTTGTTCCTGTTTATTACAACAACCTTGAAAGAACAAGGGGAGCTGGCAAATATCTCATACCATCTCAACTTCACATACACATCAACTGAACGCAGATACAATGGGCAGGAGAGCAGTGGAATGTGAAGAGCGCCGAGCTAAAGACGCTAGACTTAAACAACAGAGCAGTTGAACCTGCAAACTAGTTCTAACCCAGACAAAATAAGAGGGCAATTATAAACAAACAGCCTTGCCTCTCCAGAAACAGAAACTCTGAACTCAGACATGTGACATACAGACTGGGAGTGCAGGTTGACGAAGCTGCTTTTGCTGACTCACACAGAACAAAGTTGACCAAGTCAAGATCCTCAGAAGAGGACCTTTTGTTGACCTTTCAGCAAAAATACGTCACGTACGTCATACGTCTGAACGCCTAAACATTACTTCACCCTACATTCATTCAGTGGTACTACCTGAAACAATTCTGGTAAAGACAGGGGCAGATTTCATTTGACCACTACAGCCAAGAGCTGCGAGCCAAACACCAGATGGTTGTTTGTTGTTAGGAAACAAAATGAGATTTTAAAGCAACAACATGTCACTTGCCCACAGCAATGTCCCAAATAAATGTTTAAAATCTCACCAGAAATTAGGCCCACTTGCTAAGCAGGAGTAGACAGTATCAGTGTTGAGGGGCAGGGGTAGGTTATACATAAAGATCATCAGTTACAACCAAGGATTACCTTATAAGTGTTGTTGAAATTTTTGTAAATTAATATTTAACAATGTGATGGGTGTGATGCATTTCTCCATAATGGTACACATACTTCACATGTGATTTGCCAAATCATAATTATCAGGTTTCAGATGTGACATTGTCCTAAATTAGCCTTGCCTACTACTACTACTACTACTACTACTACTACTACTACTACTGCTTTTTATGACATAAAAACTCTACAATTTTACTCCTACCTGATTGTTTGCTTTGTGCTGGGCAGAGGTCCCTGGGATGTTGAGTGAGTGACTCCTAGTGACAGCAGCTCCAGACGATACCCGTCTATGTGGTGAACGAGATGACGGCGGTGTCTTCACCTCCAGTCGGGGACTGCTGCTGCTGCTACCGTTGTTTCCTTCAGTCTCGAGCACAGCATCCCATGGATCCCCAGCAGGAACACCTGGGGCTGCCTCTGTGGTCGACCCAGAAGCCAGTGACTCTTCCTTATTATCAGCTTTTTGTTTTCCTAATGGGTCCAGATCTAGCCAATCAATGTGACTGTTGCTAGATTCAGTTCCGGCAGCCTGCTGGGGTGTTGGATCGGGTGCCAGAGATGCGGTGCCAACCTGAGTAGAATCTATCTCAGTGCTCGCTGATCTGCCATTTTTCAAGTATTCTGAGGTGCTGGCAATCTTGTCTAACAGTTTGGCCATCTCTGGGTCTACAGCTGGTTGAGGGAACACCATGGCAGCAGCAGGCTGGATGGGAGTGAAGGTCATGAAGGGTGACTGCTGCGACGTCATGGTCATAAAAGGTGTTATAGTTGGAGTGAAGCCATTTTGAAATGTGCCTGGTTTGGGATAGGGAGCAGTGGGGAACAGAGGGGAGGGTTGATGTGTGGGAGTGGACACACTAGAGTTTGATGGAGTGGACAGAACAGGAGTCCACTGGCTGCCCTGGAAATGAGAGGAACTGCATGGGAGGCTACCAGGGTAGGAGGCACTGAGGTTAAACCCCAGCAAAGATGAAGGACGGGAAACTTTACTATGAGCCCCAAAGTTTTCATCCAGTAAGAGCTTTTCAAGTTCCTCATTGGTCAGTTTGTCCACATCAATATCCTTGAACCTAGCCTGCTCATCCTGCTTCTTGGTCTCTGGGAAAAAAATGAGGTCTTTTTCTGATCTGCTGTTAGAAGGCAAGATTTGGGAAGTAGTATTGGCATGTTTAGATAGTTTTGGTTTTGAGGAAGATGTGGACGTTGCATACAAAGATGAAGGAGTGTGTCTCTTCTCCTTTTGCAATTTTGCCAAAGCTTCTTCCTCCATACGGAGGGCTTCTTCTTTACCAACAACCCCTCTTGGCTGGGAAACATCCAGCTTGAACCCATTACCACTTGATATTTGGGCCATTCTGTCAACTGGAAGGTGCCATGAGTGGAACTGCCTTTAATTCAGTGTGGCTCAACAGGCTGCGCAGCAAGGCATTAAACACCTACAAAAAAGGGCAAGACAATACGTAAGAACACAAACACCACATACGTTCCGGCTTGTCTCTAATATTTACTTAACAACTACATGTCCTATCAAATGTCACAGATGCTTTGTTAAGAACTTTGTAAGACTGGTGACTTAGCTTATGGATAAGGGTGAGCAAAATGTGGTTATACTATGCCACACTTTAATGCTTGCTTGCATTGATTTAAAAATATCTGTTAACATATTGCTTTTATTTATATATATTTGGAAATCAACCAACAACAGAGAGATAGACAACTGAACCATAACGTCTGCAACATTTGACTGTTATCTAGTGTAAATAGTTAAGCCTTTGATTTAATTCCATATAGAGCATGGGCCTGAGGAAATATCTTTATCTCTCAATTAGCAGATTGTCATCTCATCCATCCCAGAATCCATGCTTCCATTGTTTATTGACAGGTTTTCATTTGCAACACATGCAAAGCCAATAATTGCATAGTTTGTTGTTTTCAAGTCAAGGTCATCAGTGTGGTCATGTAGTTACTGACTCAAACGAAGTAGATGCATTTCTCTCTCTTTTTTTATGTTGACATAATTATTTGCTTAGCAGCTGGCTTGATCATACACCTCAGAAGAAGGATTAAACTGAGCACTGTACAACGAGGTGGAGACACATGAATTACAACATTTTTGGCATTGCATTTATTTTACAAATATGTGAACTCCCTCTTTCCATTATCAATTATTTTGCTCATTTGTCCCTTACTAGAACATTGTTTACTTTAGGAAGAAAACCCCTGTCCATCATGTCTTTCAAAACCCCTAGGAGTTTTTTTTAGGACTTCAATATAGCCTTTTACACATTGTTGTTCACTTATAAACATGTTCTTCTTGATCATCTTAAATATAGAAAGTATTCAAAGTCCTGTCTAAAACACCAGAGGGAAAAAAAACTTTCATGAAAAGACTTTTTTGTGGTCCTGAAATGACACAACGCCTTTTCATTGAACGATCACATCCCCGGAGTTGAGTGAGTTCCTTCTCCCTCCAGGCGTCGCCGGCCTCTCATGAGCTTCCCCTCCCATTGTGGTGAAGGCTGGCCCTGCTGGTGCTCGGGCTAGCCTAGCACTATTGTGCAGCTGAGGAATTTGGCATGCTAAGCAACCCAATGGGTCTCCAGCTTCCTCTAGCTTTTTCTCAGTCTGTTAGCATTATGTTAGCATCAAAGTCCGGGATTGTATGATCAGCTGTGCTAACACTAGCAGAAAGTAACAGTATGTCTGCATCTGAGGCAAACTAAGAATACTGCATAAGGAAACAAGTAGTATCAACTGAAGGACAACTGGATAGCTTGAACAAAAAAGCACCTGTAGGTTTTACTCTTTAGTCACTTTAAAATCCCTGTGATAAAGGTCACTGCTTCTCAGCTGACAAGTGTATAAGTTAAGACTCATAGCCAGACACCAACAGGGACGGTTTCCTCATTTTGTGTGTAAACAGAGACTTGTTGTGCAAAACCACCTGATGTGGTTTGTATGGGTTCTCATGAACACCTGTCTTCTCTCACAGTATGTGTTGTTTTTAAATTTGCTTTTTGTCTTGTATGTACTTGTTGATCATCTTTCATACTGTAACTGTGCTGATTTATGTAAGCCTTTTATCAGGCTTGCATACAATCATTAAGCGATTTGAGTAGAACATTTTTATTCAAACTCATAACTCAAAAGATAAGAGCAATAGCATAAATATATTGGGACAAAATGTATTTAAAATATATATAATTCAAATAAATAAAAATAAGCTATGTGTGTAATAGCTTCAAAAGACATTTTAACTGTGAGTACAAAAGTCTCACAAGTGATTTGCTGACAAACAGCAACGCAAAAGTGCAAATGTTAGCAAAACCACCAGTAACAGTTCAAAGTACAGGACACCATTTAAAGACAAAATGAGTAACCACATCAAGGATATGAAAAGAGTGTATTGATTAAAGGAGCAAAACAACAGAATAAGACATAACATATAGAAAACCCTTACAATCCATTTATCAATTTAAATTAGACTAATTGTATGTACAATATTACATCCATAATATTGTGATTAGATGTCTAAAAATGGGTAAATGCATATTCTTAGTCCTAGTATGTATTTCCTAACTATTTCCTAACTATGAATTATTATATTATATGATATTATACTTATCCTGTAAACAAACAGCTAAAAAGAGTAGAATCTTAAGCTGTTAGTCCACCACTTGATGATTTATTAGCAACTAATTACTTTTTTGTTTACTTTACTTTGTTTTAATGTTTACTTGATTACGAAGAACTAGCACAATATGTTTATAGCATCAGCAATGACAGTTTGCGTTACATTATTTTTCTCTCTTTATATATTTTCGTTATATTTTCCTTCAGATTTTACTTAAATTAAATTAAATCTAACAAAAACGGAACACACCGGCGAAGCTCTCCGAAGACGCTCACCTGACACAGGACGATGTATTATGAATAAACACTTGCTTTCCTACCGTTGGCCCTAAAAATACAATATAACTGATTGTTAAAAACATATAACGAGGTTTAAACCAATTATGATCGACTGTTCTAATAGAAACCGGTCGAGTCGGTGATATTTCACTTCCATATACTTTCGCTAACGTTTGTTTCCAACTTTTACTTTGTTGGATGCTAAGTTTAGCCGCTAAAGTAAACCAAACTGCACAGCGAAGCAAAACATGTCGCTGACAGAAATAAATATCCAGTCGTAGCTTTGGCTTGGCACCAAAACACGAACTTCTACTGCCCTGTACTCCGAGTTACACTGATTTAATTATTTAAAAGTACCCAGGCAACTGCTCCGCTCCTACCAACAGCACACAAACAAGCAGGAAATAAGCGTTAGGTGCTGGAGGACACGGCGAGCCAACAACGAACCACCGAACACAGGCCACGACAGGACGGAACTTTTAAAGCCACAGAATAACTCTGAAAAGGAGATAACTTCTTACCTTTTAACAACGGTGCGCTGTTTGGAGCCATTTTTCCTGCAGCTGCATTTTTTTCCATCCACTTGCACGGAGGCGACGTCAGTTCCTGTTGAGGTTGTTGGACGAAGGTTTGGATGGATTCGGTTGGACGCCTCTTCTCAGGCTCAGTCGTTTCTTGACTTGAGGATTAAACAGCTGAACAGCGCCTCTATGTGGGCAACGGGTTTAATTGCTGAAATACATTGACCTGAATGTATTGGACATGCGCCCACTAAAGGTTCTTAGTGGTATTACAGATGAGATCACATTACTCTGAGATTCACATAAAAGGAGACGTACAGAATATTTTATGCTAATATAAAAGCTCACTCAATTTATGCTTGACTTCCACTAGTCCTGTGTTCGATCAAGATTAAATGCTGGAAATTCTGTGACTAATCACGACCAATCATATTGCTTTGTTAAATACTAGTAATTAAATAACTAACCAAAATCAATCAGTTAATTTATTATTTTATTAATTTAAAAATAACCTTTATATGAAAGAGTGCAATAACATTTGGTTTTCAAAGGATTGCCAAACTTTTTTAGCACCTTCATTTCATAGGTAAAGCTAGTGTCGACCCTCCCTCTCTTCTCTCATTGAACAAAAGAAAAAAAAAACTTCATTGTCCTCCTCATAATAGTTTCAGACCTCCTCTGGGGACCCGCCCACCACTTTGTATACCTTGGGACCATGGTGTACTTTGTTGGAGTTATTGAAACTAATCTAGAGACTGTCCATTCTGTTGTCCCTCTATGAATATACTTTTTATTTTTTAATTCCTACATATCATATCTGTTTCTAATAATAACATAAAGTTAATACAAGTTTATTTTTATTAAATTAAAATTTGCCCTAACTTTCGGCTCTATGTCCATGTACTGTGTCTATACTTACATACATTTGACGTTTGACTCCACACAGCTTTAAGAGGATGGCTAATTCTCCCTTTAACACAGGTAATTGACAGATACCGCCGCGAATCAGATTTCAACGCGACTGTTCTCTAGAGCACGTGTGCAGATTTTGACCAATGGTAGGATTTAGGGCGGGGCGTTACCATAGTGAGGAGAAATCCTATTTTATTGAGTAGGTTGTAGCCATCAGACGCTGGGGTTGGAGGTAGATGACAACCGTAAACAAGCAGCAGTAAAACTCTGGCACCTGTGACGGATAACTGAAGTATCAGAGGAGGAAAGCTGAAGGTTAGGGCAGCAAATGGTATATACGATCGTTATGTTAACATTTTTAGACAGTACCAGCTTATGGTTGTGTTGAACGTCTGTAAGATACTGAATGGGCTGCCATTTCAAAATAGAATAGCTGTGTTCTCTTAAAGAAAAAACGCCTGTAATTTGTATGTTTGTAAACTGTTAACATTTTTGGACACTGGTATAATTTCTGTGATATATTACCAGTGTTTTCATTCATAACAACTCGTGCGTTGTTGCATCATAGAGTGATGCTTTTAGGATTAAAGTTGCATAACCTCAACTCCGTGTTTAAAGTCATTATCATATTTAGGTCACATATTTTCGCCATGTTTAAGAAGATCAAGTTCATTCAGCCTTGCATGTGTGGTTGTACAGGCTAAAAGGTGTAGGTTAGACCTAAGTTAAAGTGTATATGTCAGTAGTGGGCAACTAGACAACCACATAAATGTCCTAAGTCACATTCATTCTGGTTTTGAATCCTTGTAGCTATAGAGTACACATATATTGACTGTTTAGATATATATTTTGTATCACTATTTATGTACCCTCACAGATGGTGAATGTTGAAACGTTAGCGTGCTGTGGGCTGCTGCTCCTGAGTTTGGGGCTGTGTGTCCACTCCGTGCCCATCACGGCAGACCGGACTAAAGAAAATGTTCCAGATGAGACGCTGGAGCCACCACAGAGTGCGGTGAGTCAGCCGCAAACAGTGAGAGCAAACAGTGGATATTGCTTAACAAATCGAGCTGTTCGGACACAAACATGTTAACAAGGAAAAACTGCACCTGTTTGGACAAGAAGTGTGTAAAATACTATGTTTCAGAAGCAAAGATTTTGTGACCCAAAAAGGTCAGCACCAAAGTGCAATGTATGACTACAAACACTGACGTACAGACTGTGTTTCAGGAGACAGGCCTGCACTACGACCGCTACCTCCGGGAGGTCATCGAGTACCTGGAGAAGGACCCTCACTTCAGAGAAAAGCTAAAAAACGCCAACTTGGATGACATCAAGGCATGTTTGCAGACACATTATTTTGCAACACTGTCACTGGCAGCAGCAGATGGCAATGAGCTGAACCGTGTTGATTTGTGCTTGCAGCAAGGTAAACTTTCCAAAGAGCTGGACTTTGTCCACCACAATTTGCGGACCAAGCTGGACGAGTTGAAGAGGGAGGAGATGAACAGATTACGGATGCTCATTAAAGTCAAGCTTGACATGGAGAAGGATAGTAGTAAGTAGCTGCTCATGTGGCAGTAAGATGTTGAACAACTAAATCCCATCAGTTACTTCATTGTATTAAACACCCATCTCAGCTGACACTGATCTGTACTGAGCTCGAATCAGGTTGTGATTAAAGAATTTGTAAACGACTAGTCTAAAAAGATTTAGTTTGGTTGCTGATAATTGTCAGCCTATCAGCAATCGTAAACTTTACACCATTGTCTCTCCCGCAGCACAGAAAGTGAACAACCGTGCTCTGCTCAAATACTTTGAACACCTCAACCACGTGAACCCAGACAAGTTTGAAGTGGAGGACCTGGAACGTCTCATCAAATCGGTACATGCAGTGATGTTCAAACACTCAACACATGTTTTCATAATATCTGACAAAGTTGTCCATGTTAAAAGTCACGCTGACTTTCAAAGATACCGTGTTTACCATGGTTGTTTTTCTATTATGTAGACACAGTCATACCTCTAATCACAGTAATGACCATCGTGTGTAAGACTTTGTGCTAACATTAGCATGGATGAACCTAAAGGGTATTATGGTTTGTAAACAGCTGTGTTTGTAGCAGGCAACTTTGGTATTCCTGTGCTGCCATGTTTCAAAAACATTTGAAAGGGTGATGAATACGAATTTTGTTTGCTCTCGACCTTTAATGAAGCACAAATTATAAAAATACAGATGTGCCTTGTTGGAAAGCCTTTCATCTGACAGTGAACTGTCACAGTTCAGAGGGTAACCTGAAGGTTATGGAATAAGGAAATTCTCAAAAATTGTCGTCAAATTATTGGCGGGACTTGTTGTGACCAATTGTCGTCAAATTATTGGCGGGACTTTGACTTGTGACTTGTTTTCATATTAAAGTGTAGTATGATATTTAAACTTATATATACTACTTATTAAACATGTCTACATTACGTGTAGGACCAGGGATTTTGTTGAAATATTAGCTGTCAATCTTAAATGTGAATTCCCAGACGATGAACGATCTGGAGCATTTTGACAAGGCCCACCACGAAGAGTTCAAGAAATATGAAATTATGAAGGAGCATGAAAGGAGAGAACATCTGAAGAACATGGATGAGGAGGACCGCAAGAAGGAGGAGCAGCATTATGAGGAGCTGAAGAAGAAACATGCGGACCATCCCAAAGTCAACCATCCAGTAAGTTTCCTGCAGTAATGCTCTACATTAAGAAGTAGTAATTTATGGGCAACACTATTCTTTGTTGTCCTATATTGACATTATATCGGAACATTACTGTTCCACAAATTCATTTTTACTTCACGGGACAAAATATAATAACCATGGAGGCAGAGGCTAGGTATTTGAAGCTAATGCTAAGCTAATGTCAACCCTTGTCTGTGTCTGCAGGGAAGTGAAGACCAGCTTAAGGAGGTGTGGCAAGAGGAGGACGGTCTGGACCCAGAGAGCTTTGACGCAAAGACTTTTTTCAAAATACATGGTAACTATAATCAATAACCAATTAAAACCAAAAAGTTAATATTTGACATCTCTAGATTAAATTATTACAAATATAAAACTTTGGGCATAGTTCACACAGACAGCTGAACAGAAAGAGAGCAGAGCTTTCCCATTTCAATAGAAAATACAGTAATTTCTCCTACTTTCCAGTAAACAATGTGGCTAAGACTGACTAGCACTATTTCCATGTATCCATAAAAACATTAAAACTTAAGGTCGGTAAACAGTTCTCAACATAAAAGTGACTTCAATGATTGTCTTCTTTATTGTACAGTCCACTGTACGTCTGTTCTTTGTTGATGCAACATGACAATTAGCCCAGTGTGGTATCAATAAATCTAATCTAATCCTTTAATGCAGACACTAATGGAGATGGGTTCTTTGATGAGAATGAGCTGGAAGCTCTCTTCACGAAAGAGGTCTGTAATTCGTTGTTCTTCAAACTGGTCTGGTTCTGCGAGTTATGAGACAAAGACATATTGAAATGACATGCCCGTGTTTGTGTTGAAGCTAAAGAAGGTGTACAACTCTGACAATGAAGAAGACGACATGGTTGAGATGGAGGAGGAGAGACTCCGAATGAGAGAGCATGTCATGAACGAGGTGAAGCACCACTGTCACTGCACACACGTGGTGTGGTGCCCAGGAGTCGACTAATAACATCTTTCATTTACTGCTGCTTTAGGTGGACACTAACAAAGACAGACTGGTGTCACTGAGTGAGTTCATTGATGCCACTAAAAAGGCCGAGTTCAATAAAAATGATGAGTGGGAGGTAAGATGTTGGTTATAATAAACAAAATGTAGAAAACTGAAATTAGGTTCTGTTCCGTTTTCCTCTTCTTCACACTCTGTTTCCTGCCGTCTTCTGTCTTGTTCGCACAGACATTAGAGCAGCAGGCTGTGTACACTGAGCAGGAGCTGAGGGCATATGAGGAGAGTTTGGCCAACGAGGAGAAAAACATCAATGTGAAAGCGGTCGAGCTGCAGAAACAGAAAGAGGAGCTGGACAGGAAGCAGGAACAACTCAATGCCCAGAAGGCAGAGTTACAAAAGGTGCATAAAAATCATTTTAATAGGAATATACGGTGGAGTTTGGGACCTTCAAGAGGACGCATTGAGCAGAGCTTTCACTCATTTGTCAATTTGTCAAACATGTTTTCTATTTTCTCTTCTCAGGCAGTTGAAGGGATAGAAACGTTTAAAGCTAAAAGCAAAACAGCCGAGGTTAAATGTGAGTAAACTACTGTGTGAGTCAGTTGCATGTAAACCATATATTTTTGTTAGTGAACCAAAAAATATGGAATTATTAAACCTATTTTTTTAAGTAGCCACATGACTTTTCTGATGAAACTCAAATGTGCTGTAATTCTCCAGCAGAGGAAGGTGAACCAGCACCAGTTGTACCAGGAAACAACCAGCCAGTGCTGCCCGGTCACCAGCAGCAGGATGTACCAGTGCCAGGACACTCTTAGCAAAACCTCACCACTGTGTGTGCTGAATGAATGTCAGTCAGTGTGTGTGTTGGTGTGTGTGCGTGTATTTGCATTTGCCATTATTTCAATTGTTTTTTAGGACAGTAAATTTCATGGACTGTATTGAAAATATTTAATTTTACTCAACTCTGATACATGAGCCACTCGTTTGATTTTTATTCTTGGGATCAACCTCTGTTCTCCATGGACACTGGGTTTGAGAAAGTCTGCAACTTGCAGTGATTGAGTCTGGTTGCAGTGAAACAAATCTGAAAACCCTCCAAGTCCAGTTTTATTGTTTTTATGATCAGATGTTTTAACAGGGACATTTCACAGATGTTATAGTATGAATTTAATTGAATGATTTTTGTGCCTATGTATGTTTTCATGTGTGTAATTTCTTATAGTTGCATAATTTATGTTGTCTCTACTAAACACTGGATTTAATTATTAAGTATTTTTACAGACATCAGAAAACAATCAGGTAAAAGTGCAGATTTTTTTTTATTATCCACCACCAGCATTCAGTGAGTCAAATGTGCATGTGGTTTGAATGTGTACAATAAAGTGATGATCTTGCAGTTTGCTTTGTTTTTCCTCATTTACGACACAGTGCACAGACACACACCAACGCATTGGAAATTCAAATTCTAAAAGAACTTTAACATAAGTAGAAAAATAAATTTTAGGACCGTCCGTACGATACACTGAAACGCTCCATGTAGTGGTCACGGGAATTGATTGGAGGATATTTATTGGAGCCGTCACAGCAAGTAATCACAACATCATCGTCAGGCTGAATGAAGAAAGCCAGTGACTGGCGTGAGCTTGAATCTCCAGCAGGGGGCAGAATAACTCTGTGCAGCTGAGCAAAAAAAAAAACGCTTTCAAAATACATTGGTTTTTGATTTGACTGATTTTTAAATTGTTTAATTCCTCACAAAACCTGCAAATAAAACTTTCACGACTCACCACAGAGACAAACCGATCACTTGTCCAGCGCTGCATCATATCAGCAATGTTGACCAGAACGGTTTCTGGGATGCAGGGAACACAGATGAATTCACCGGAACGTGCACGGACCTGACGGGAGAAATTAGGATTAGGATTTTCAACAGACTTTAAACTCAGTACATAAACAGTTTAACAGTTGTGGTGTTCATTTGACTCTATTTTACCTGCAGACCTTCACTGCTTTGGAACAACAGTGTGATGCTGCCATAGTCTGAATGTTCTCCACAGCGTATCTGGTTCTCCTTCACATGGTCTCTGTTTACTGGTGAGTAGTACAGAGACCGCAGGGTGGTGCTGTTCTTAGGATCTGCAAAAAATACCATCAAAGTACATCCATCATATTTCGGGGCCAAGATCAAGGTATTGTCTGCCATTGTTTTCAGTGGTTCTGTGTTTCCAGTATATAATATTCACACTTTTTAAAAATTCAAATAAAACTCAGCTAAAAGAAATCACCTGTGTACCACAAAAGGTAGCCAACGTACCATCCATAGCACACATACCTGACTTTGAGAACCATTTTTATAGCATAGTATTTCCTTCTCTGATGTGTACATACCTCCTATATGTTGGTGTGCATCAAGGAACACTTCCGGGTCCACACCAACACTGTGGGCCATGACCCTCAGCACCCGCAGACTCAACTCTTTACAGCGCTGAAAGATAGATACCTGGGTTTCCTTGAATCCAGGTACAATATCTGATGATGGCCATTTCTGAAACAAGATTAAACAATTAATTAGAGTTCTTAAATTGTTGTCCTAGCATATCTGCATCTGTACAAACCACTGTATGAGTTTCAGCACACGCTTATGTCCAGTGTGCCATATTCCATTGGAAGCCCCTCAACCCCCCACCCCCACCACATCACCGCGCCCCCAGGAGGGCCCGCCCCACTATTTGAGTACTGGTTTAGAGGGAGATTTTCACAATACCCTGATTGTTAATAATAATAATACATTTTATTTAAAAGCGCCTTTCAGGTCACTCAAGGACACTGTTGATAAACATGAATAAGGTCAGTGTCTGATGGGTAAGTTTACTATGTCAGGATGAAGCGATGAAACGTTGAAAGACTCCTTCAGGTCTCCAGGGCGAAGTGGGTTTAACCTGAAATAAAAACAGTGAAAGTGATGATTTAAAAGTGCTGATCGAGGTTAAATGAAACCCTCGGGGTTTAACCTGAAATAAAAACAGTGAATTTTAAAGTGCTTATCGAGGTTAAATAAAACCCTTATGTCTGGCAGCAGACTGTGCAGACACAGCTCTACCTCTCTGTCTCCACTGACACCCAGTGATTTGGACTGACAGAGAAAGTCTCCCGGCTGAACGTCTTCTTCACTGCATCAGGCTGCAGGAAGAACTTCATGGCCACATCCATAGCAGTGTTCACCTGTTCAATCAGACACATACAGACCAAAGCAGGAGATTGCAGAAAATAATCCTAAAAGCAAAAGGGGTTATTTTCTGAAGACATTTTTGGGCTCACCTCGTCCTGAGTGATCCCTGTGTTTTTCAAAAGCACGAAGCCAATGTCTGTAAACGCTGCTCCCAGCTGTTGGCTCAAGTCCTGCAGCCGATCGTCACAAACATCACATTTATCCAGGCCATAGTCGCCGAAGTCCACTACTGGAATGCTCATTTTGCGACCGAACGAAAAAGGGAGACTCCAATCTGACCATCAATCCCAGCGACTGAACTCTGAACTACTACTATAAGTTAACAGGGTTCGCGCAGCCCCCTCCCCACGAGCTTCTCCCAGCCAATAGGAAAACAGTTCTCTGTGGTTTCACGTGATATTGGCATGTTTTTTTTCCCCACGTCGAAAAACTGGAGTGTCTTCTTCGAAAGTGGCGGTTTCCACGGTTCATTTTATTAATTTAACCATCTTCTGTAGAAGTTGTCCGCTGTGACGTTGAAACGTCACACTTTCACACAAGTTGATTTTAATAAGAGTTGGCTGGTAGAGCGCCCCCTTTGCAGGCTGCACCTTATTCTCTCCAGCAGAGTCTCCTTTAACCTTGGGTTATTTCACTCAGGCACCAAACATAATAAATATTGACAAGTTATTTATTTTTTCAGGCACACTAAGTATGAATAAGACATGTGTGACAAACAAAACCTTCACATTTCAGTGAATTTTTCTTTTTGGCCAATGGTTAACAACTTGTGTCTACATCATTGATCAACTTACGTAATTTATGAACATCATTTAAGTCTCTTTGAACCAAACACCTTTACAATGTTGTCGTTATGGGATTTTACCCAGTGTTTGACTAAAAGCCATATGTGAAAATACATTTTAAAATAGTTCATGAATGACATTAATGAAGCGGACTTGGGTCCAGAAGGTTTCAGGTTCGAGTCCACCAGCTGCCACAGAGGTGCTCTGAGCATAGCACCGTCCCCACACACTGCTCCCCGGGCGCGTAATGCTGCCCCCTGTTGACTTTGGTGATGGGTTAAAAGCAGAGGTCACATTTGGTTGTGTGCAGTAGCACAATGACCAGTCGTTCACTTTCCTTCCTTTCCTTATTTTAAAACGAAGCAGTACAGTCTGTTGTTATTGTACTTTAATTTTAAACTTGCTCTAACATCTGTTATGTTCATAGTTTGAATGTGGACAATAAAGTAAATGTTTTTTTTCCTTTACTAGACATTGCTGTTTACACATAACTACATTCTAATATTAAAACATTAAAAACATGTTGCCTTTTAAACCTTCCACTTAACCTCACTTCACTCACACAACTCGAAAATAATTTTAGGACTTTCCATATGTAACGCTGTATCGCTCCATGTAGTGGTCACGTGACCTGATTGGCGGGTATTTGTTGGAGCCATCGCAGCACGTTATCAATGCATCATCGTCAGGCTGAGCAAAGAAAGCCAGTGACTGCCGTGTACTAGAGTCTCCAGCAGGGGGCAGCAACCCTGTGCAACTGGGAAAAAAAAAAAACAACCCAAAGCATGAGTTGAGAATACACTGTATGTTATGGTTTAAGATGAATAAAAACATAAATGGAAGTATACAAGAAGGAAAACTGCACATTCACGCAAGTATTTGGAAAAACGTTCATGCTGAGGACACAGACCAGTGATGTTTTGCTGTAAGGCAAGAGCATGAACCACTCTTCACTGTCTGGCCATAAATCAATTTTAATCTGGTGTTTTCATTGCACAATTCCTTCTTTGGAGAATTCTGGGGGAATAGCTTTATCTGCAGGTCAGTTCTTTGCCTCGTCTAAGGACCTCTGTCTGTACTTCTATTTTTGACTCTTTTTTTTTTAAATGTATGTTTTTCCAAGTGACGGTCAAAAAAAGAAAAGCTCTGTGGCATTGATGTAACTCAAGGAATGACCGTAGAAATACAACTCGTTCTCTACTCACCACTGAGACAAACTGATCACTCGTCCAACGCTGCATCAAGTCAGCGATGTTGACGAGAACAGCGTCGGGAATACAGGGAACCGAGATGAATTCTCCAGAATGGGTGAGGACCTGAGGATTTTAATTAGATCCACATGCATGTTGAGTCCAACAGCAGATTTTAGTAACGTACAGTTTTCCACTTGCAGATATTTATATTAAGGTGTAAATTTTACCTGTAGACCTTCACTGCTTTGGAACAAGAGTGTGAGGCTGCCATAGTCAGTATGTTCTCCACAGCGCACCTGGTTCTCCTTTACTTTGTCACTGTTTACTGGTGAGTAGTACAGACACCGCAGAGCTGAGCCATTCTTAGAAGCTGCAGAAAACACAATAATAATACAAAATATAGTAAAAGTGTTAGGTCCTTTAGTGAGAAAGTACAAAATTAGTGCTATGGAAAAAAAACAAGTCATTCTGTTTACTAAACCGTAAATATCCTAATAATAATAATAATAATACCTTTAGCTCAGGGTTACCAAACAGGAGTGTGCTATTTAACCAAATACCTAAAACATTCGACTAAAGACAGACAAAAATGAATACAAAACAAATCTGGAAAATTGTACTCCCTGCTCTGATGTGTACATACTTCCTATAGACTTGTGTGCATTCAGGAACACGTCCGGGTCCACGCCAACACTTTGTGCCAGGACCCTCAGCACCCGCAGACTCAACTCTTTACAGCGCTGGAAGAAAGATACCTGGGTTTTCTCGAAATTGGACACAGATAACGGCCATTTCTAAAACAGAGATGAAAGGCATGTGAGCTCAACCAAACGTTAAATAAGAAGTCATTCATGTACTTGTTTTCCTGAAATTAAACAAATGATGAGTCTCAGTCATCCAGGTCATTTTAGAACCGTTTCACCTCTAATCCAAGAGGCTTCTTGGTTCTGACTGACTGACTGGAAAAGTTCTACCTGAAAAGACAGTCTGCTCTTGGTTGAGAAGTAAAACATCTTCAAGAAACTCTTTCAGGCTTGTTAAAAAACTATGAAACAAATCAGTGATAGTTTGGAATGTTTTGTGGACAAGTATTTGGTAAGAGGAGTAAATCTAATCAGCCTGATGAAGTGATCAACTTAAATATCTTATCTAATCGTTACAGTGGGCCTCATATAACACAATACAACTCAGAAGCTATTTATTCATCTATGGTGACAATTCACTGAACAAACAAACAACTAAAATATCTTCCGAAAAGGTAACATTACTATGTCAGGATGAAGCGATGAAATGTTGAAGGATTCCTTCAGGTCTCCAGGTCGAAGAGGATTTAACCTGGAATTAAAAACAAAAGATTATGAGTGATTAAATTAATACAGCACTTGCTTTCAGAGCCCGTGGGGAAGTCATGCAGTTTAACTATATAAATATGCGAGTACTTTTATCATAGTCTATTATTGATAGCAAAAGAAAAAAGAAAAAAAAAAGAAGAAGAAGAAGCATGAAACATAAATAACTGAGGTCATATTCATTTCCGGTCAGCATTTCCTGTCCAACACTACGGCTACTTTTCTTAGCTTTCATCAAACTTAGAAACCGTCCTGTACCTCTCTGCCTCCGCTGACACCCAGCCATGGTTAGGACCAACGGGGAAAGTCCCCCTGGAGAACGGCTTCTTCATGTCATCAGGCTGCAGGAAGAACTTCAGACCCACAGCCATAGCATTTTCCACCTGAAGAACTTCAGACCCACAGCCATAGCACTTTCCACCTACACACACACACACAACAGACCAACATGTTACAAACGTTAACTTTACAGACGAAGCGACTGTAATGTACCGTTGATTCTGTGGCTTCACCTCCTCCCGGGTGATCCCCGTGTTCTTTAAAAACACAAAACCAAAGTCTGTAAACGCTGCTCCCAGCATTTGGCTCAGTTCCTGCAGCCGTTCGTCGGTAACGTCATGTTTATCCAGGCTGTAGTCACCAAAGTCCACCACGGGAATGCTCATTTTAGCGTACGAAAAAAGCCGACTTGAATCTGACAGCAATGTGTCCCAGCCTCAGAGGTTTTAAATACGGTGTCGTTAACCTTTTTGGGAGGGAAAGGTCAGACGCCCCATGTGACCTTCTCTCAGCCATTAGGAAAGCAGTTCACCCAGGAACGGTGCGGTGGGGTGCAGCAATCAATTAAACCCGTGTTATGGATTTTACTGGTTCGATGGGTAGAGATTAAGGAATAAGTGAGTCACAAACTCGATTAATCCGGAGAAGATGTTTGACTTGTCCAAGGAGTGGGACATCTCCTTCGCAGGCTGCGGCTTCATGGGGATTTACTACGTCGGTGCTAGCAGCTGTATCCTGGAACGGTTTCCGCGATTCATACAAGACGCCTCTAAATTCTACGGTTCATCGTCAGGTGCTCTGATGGCTGCGACTCTCGCCACTGGGATCCCTCTGGGTAACCACCGAGTCTCGTTCTACCAAGAGTCATAGAAACAAAGACATTGAAAAAATCTTTAACTTTTTTTTTCTCCCACTGAAGAATAAAACAAGTGTTTCCAAATTCTGGCATTGGGGCCATTTGTGGTACTTGAAATTTATTTTTGTGGTCCACAACAAACTGTGGCTGTGATAACAGGACTGAATCACAGAAAACATCATCACATAATCAGTTGTATGTATGTATATATACATGTATATGCAGAGAAAAACACTACAAATGCCACTGAGCGGCCTTTTTTTTTTGACATTTTCAGCCCTCTGTGCTGATGCTGTGATTAATCTTTAACTCTGTTTGTGAAACTTTTCACTTTTCAGACAATTCTTTTCTTTTTCCTGCAGAAAATTGCTGTGCAGATTTGATGTCCATGGCCAGAGAGGCCAGAAGGCACAGACTCGGGCCTCTACACCCGGCGTTCAACCTGCTGCACATGGTTCAGACCTCTCTGCAGGAATCACTCCCTGAAGACGCTCACGTCCGAGCCTCTGGACGACTGTGCGTGTCCCTGACCAGAATGCCTGATGGGAAGAACGTCCTGGTGTCTGATTTTGGCAGCAGGGATGAGCTCATTCAGGTCAGTGTGGCTGACAGGTCAGTGTGAGCTGCCGTATCCAGAAACGTAGATCTATATTGTTCCGTTCGCTCTCGTCTTAGGTTCTATTGTGCAGTTGTTTTATTCCTCTCTACTGCGGCGTGGTCCCACCCACCTACAGAGGACTGGTGAGTGTGACGGTCCACTCGTCTCCAAGGCCTGATTTCAGACTCTAACATTCACCCGGTTCATCAAACCCTCCTCAGCACTACGTGGACGGTGCCGTCAGCGACAACCTGCCCCGGTGTTACCTGAAGAACACCGTGACCTTTTCGGCCTACGCTGGTGAGAGTGACATCTGTCCTCCTGCAGGAACCATGAACCTGCACGAGGTGCGCTTCAACAACGTCAGCATCCACCTCAGCTCAGAGAACATTTACAGAGTGACCAGCACCTTCTTTCCACCTGAGGCCGAGGTGAGACCCTGTGGATTGTGCTTTTAATTATTCAGACTTCATTTGGCTGAAATAATTACTGATTTATCATATAATTTTATTAAAAAAAAAACATGAAAAACTATTTGATTTGGGTATATATTTTTTTTTATAAGTGATGATTAGGGCAGAGGATGGAAACATTTTTTCATATTTCAGATTTTCCTAGTTCAGATAATCGTACAAATGTTTCCTATCCCTGTAACTGTATCCTGACGTGGGGTTGATGCTGTTCGTTTTCACAAAGAACTCTTTGGTTTCGTAGGTCATGTGTAAATTCTGCCAAAATGGTTATCAAGATGCTCTTCGCTTCCTCCATGAGAACAGTAAGGACGTGGGTTTTTTTTAATGATGATGAAAATGATGATCACTGAGAGACGACAAGCCACCCAGTGGAATAACTACCACAGATCTGATAACTAGTGAAAGTCCAAGAGGTTTGGAGACAGACTCGTCCTCACCTGCATGTGGGGAGCTGGAGCAGAAAACAGAGGAGGAGGAAGAGGAGGAAGGAGAAGAGGAGAGGAGCACAGGTCAGGATGGGTTCCATCGTGGGCTCACAGAGGAGCTCCCACTCCACATCAGAAGAGGTAAGTGAAGTGAAGCACACGTTTGAACACCCAATGGACAAATGTCCAACGTCAGTTGTTGCTATTACTGTACTTTGCCAGTGTTTGTTTTTGTGCTTTTGAAAAAAAAAATTCTGCTTAATTAAAAATGAACCCACTATCAAACCTTAAAGCTGCTGGTCCAAAAATGTAAACAGGTAAAAATAGTATAAAGAAAATATTTTGTATTAATGTTTCTTCACATTCTCTCTCTTACATTAAAGTCATTTGTCATAGTTTTGTGTATGACTTTTTTTTGGTAGCAGATCTCACAGAAGTTACAATAAACCCAGGATTGTTGTAGCCAAACCCTGGCTAAAAACTCTTCATTTAAATGAGAGCACAGTTTAATGGACATTACAGTGAGAACGTTTGTCTGTGATCGGTGTTGTCGGCTGAACCAGCCGATATCAGAGACGCTTTTGTTCTTAAAATGTGTTTTTTTTTGGCTTCTTGTACTATTAGTGATGCACAACATGCGGAGTCAGAGCTGAGGCAGGAATAAAGACGTCAGGCTGCAGAAGGTTACTGTAAAACAGTAAAAAAACACGTGCAGCACTAAGGCCTGAATGAAACCTTTCTTTTCTTCCTCTCTAATTGTGTCAGCGTTGTATGACGCCTGTAGAGAATCACGTTCAGCTGATGGTCTGTCGCCCCACGTGGTTGAACACCTACCAAAGAAAGTCACTTCGTACCTGCAGCTTCTGCCATCGCTGCCTGTTGTGTCCGCGCGCAGGTAAAAACCCAACATCCCATCATTCAGTTTCTCTCAGGCTTCTGCCGCTTTTTCTTGTTCTTCATATTTGTGTTCTCTTCCCTTTTCTTTTCATTCCTTTTCTTGTAACTGTAATCTTACTCTTCTTTTTGTTCTTTTTTTCTTCTCGTTCCTCCTTGACTCAGTACATGTCCTGAATGTCACAGTCATTTTTACAAACTTGGATCACTTTCTTGTGGTGACTAAACAAAGTGAAACATCGTTTCCAGTCCTACTGCTCCACGCTCTTAGCTGGTGTCATGTGTCCTGCATTAAACTGAATGGATGCTGCAGCTCTTTAACTGTTTTTCCTGTTTTTGAGCTGAACTGTAAATAAAGATAATCTGTTTGCAGACAGGCTAATAAGTCTGTAGACCTAACAATGATCAGTCTATCAGTCATTATTTTTCTTTCTTTTTCCCTGTGCAACTCTTTTACATATTTTAAATGATTATTTTCCAGTATTTTAAAATGGTGGTTTTGCCTTACTGCATAGAGGTCACTAGGTAGAGCCCCAATGGTAACTGATGGTCTTTCTGTTTGGAGTTTGCATGTTATGACTGATGGTATGACTGATTCTCCAGACTGGTGGACTGGATCTCAGATGTACCTAAAGACATGAGTTGGCTGTATGGCATGGCTGAAGGGATACTGTACAAACCCTCAGAGAAGAACACGGTGGATGACGGTGATGACAGGTACTCCTTCACATCATACGGTTTGTCCTTATTTTGATGCGTGCATTCGTCAGAGCCTAAATGAAGAGTAAAGAGTTTGTGCTTCTCCTTATTCTTTTGTCTATTCCAGGGAGTCCACTCTGTCCAGATGTCTGGAAAGTCTGCCATTAGGCTTGAATGGGTCCAATAAAGAAATAGACAGTGCAGACACTCCACCTGGCACCCCTGAAAACACACCCAAACCCAGCTTGGTCTTCCCCTGGCACACAGACAGTGAGGTGGACCACATGCCTCTGACTCCTCCCCCCACACCATCTATTTGCCACGCCTCAGAATTTGGGGAAGCAAACACAGAATCGCCGAACGACACCGGCGGAGGCTGGGGTCTGGGCAGAGCCATGGGGCTGATTCGGAACATTGCGTCGGAGCAAACCTCGAGAAAACAGGAGAACAAATGAGGTGTTGATCGTTTCTGCATTTTAGTAAATATTTTTCATACTGTAATTAGAAGCAAAATGTGGAAAGTTGAATAAATTGAATGCAAACCGTGTGTGTTTTGCCGTGTGTTTTCTTCTCATACCACAATTCAGGATTTTCCCTTTTATTTTATAATATATGCACAATCAAATGTTAGTTTGTAGAGATAAAAAAACATTGTGTTCTGTCAAAAAAAATCAAAATTGAAGATAAATTATTTTAGTTCATGTTAGAAGCTTGTGTGAAAACTGTATTGCCCCCTCTTCTGCCCCCCACCCAGCAGCTGTGTTTACGTCAGTGTGTTATGAAAACTATATCACATGACCTGCAAGGGGCTTCACTCCAGCCGTAATTCTAGATTGTTTTTCTACTTCCAAACTTAGGACATCCGAGGGCAGTGAGTTGCGTAACACTTGGTTCTATAGCACCGCTGACACTGCCCGGTTCACCTCTGGTTGTATTAGAGATAACACAACAGTTTACATGCTGGGGCAGTTGGAATACCTCCAGGTGCACCTGCTGCACCCCGAGG